AATATATATATTATAAAATATAATAATATATATAATATATATAATATATTATATATATTATATATATTATATTATATAGAGGTAAAAAGGAGAAAAAAATATTATTGGTGTATGCAAGGGTAGCAGCAGCAATTGGTGTTGCTGTTCTTGCTGCTGCTGTTGCTGCTGCTGCTATTGCTACTGCTGTTGCTGCTGTTGCTGCTGTATATAACATTTTTATTTATATATTATTTAATTAAATAATAATTATTAATTTATTTTTATTTTTTTTCTTATTTATTGCATGCAAAGTATCTATTAACCACCAAAGAGGGGGGAGGGGCCCCATGGTATGGTGTGATGCGCAGCAGCCATAGAGGAGCTGCTGCTGCTGCTGCTGCTGCTGTTGCTGCTGTTGCTGCTGTTATGTGTCTGGTGTATATACACCGCGTGCTGCCATTAACAGATGATTTGCATGCAGCGTCTTTTCTGCAGCAATAGGAAGACAAAAGGAGGGGGGCCCACAGTGGCACTTTTGCTGTTTTCCTGCTGCTGCAGCAACAACAGCAGCAACAGCAGCAACAGTGTAGCAATCAACAACAGCAGCAGCAGCAGCAGACGACGACGACGACAACCACCATAACACTTGCTGCTGCAGCAGGTGCTGCCTCTTTTCTTTATTTTATTTCTTTTTCTTTTATTAGGCAGCAAATAACAAAACAAGTGCTGCAGCAAGGGGGGGGTGTTAGCAGGTTGGGTGTATGTATGGGGCCCCTATAGCAGCAGCAATAGCAGCAACAGCAGCAACAGCAGCAACAGCAGCAATAATAGCAGCAACAACAGTAACAATATCGCAATCGCAGCGACAACAACAGCAGCAACAGCAGCGACAGCAGCAACAGAAGCAACAGCAGCAGCAGCAACAGCAGCAGCAAGTGTTGGGTGTCTGTACACCTCAACTGTCAATGGTCATGTGTGACGGTGGCGAGGTCGCCACTGGTCTCTAGTAGGGAGCCTTTGGTGTTGTTGCGCTGCAGCAGCAGCAGCAGCAGCAGCAGCAGCAGTTGTTGCTGCTCCTGCTCCTTCTGCTCCTACTGCTGTTGCTGCTGCTGCTGCTGCTGCAGATGATGGATTCCTTGCTGCAGTGGGCCCTCTCTGGAGGTGTCCCTCTTACTTATTCTCCTCTATTAGGGTTTTATTTATATATAAAGGAGACATGTCCCTTATTATATTATTTATTATCTTTATCTATTTATTTGCTGCTAGCGGTGCTGCTGCTGCTGCTCCTCTTCCTGCTGCTGCTGCTGCCGCTACCTCAACGTTTCCGTCCTACCTACCGTCCTGCTATAGTAGGCATGGGGGCCCTATCCCCTCAGCCTCTTAATTTGCATCTTTTATATAAAGAGGAAGGGGGGCCCCGTGGTGGACCTGGGGGCCCCTCAGGGGCCCCTGGGGGCCCCTCTAGCTGCTTCTATTATAGTAACCCAGCAACAAGGACATGGGGGTACTTAATGCGTATATCTGGTCTAATAAGACCATGGCATGCACAGCAGAAAAGATCTATATTAGGGGCCTCTGCATGCCGTATAAGGGGAGGGGGCCCCCCTGGGGGCCCCCCAACTCAATCCCCTGCTGCAGGTGCAGCAGGAGGTTGCTGCAGCAGCAGCAGCAGCATTAGATCCCCTGCTGTTGGGGGTTTAATGTCTTATGGTGTTGTTGATCGTTTTGCTGCATGGGGAGGAGAATCTCCTGCTGCTTCTCCTCATTTCTCTCATCCTGCTGCTGCTGCTGCAGCAGCAGCAGCAGCAGCAGATTTATGCAGACCATCAGAGATGCATGCATGCGCTGCTGCTGCTGCTGCAGATGGTAGCTGTAGATGCTCATGGATGCGTCTACCCTATCTCCCTATAGAAGACACATCCTCCTCCTCCTCCTCAGCAGCAGCAGACGATAAAACAACAGCAGCAGCAGCAGCAGGAGGAGGAGGAGAAGCAGCAGCAGCAGAAGGAGGAGAAGAAGCATGTCAGAGTTGCCGTCTTGCTGCTTCTTGGTTACAATCTCCTGCTGCATCACGTAATAATTTATTGCATGCATGCCCATCATTATTACGGGGCTTTCGTCCATCTAGTTTGCTGCTGCAGCAGCGCCTGCTGCAGGGTTTGCTGCTGTTCCTGCAGGAGGAAACAGCAGCAATAAAGTTAATAAAATTTGATAAAAAATACAGGGTAACTTCTGTTGATGGGGACACAGTATTATTACATTATTTTAGGCATAGAACTAATATGCATGCATGCAGGTCTAGTTGGGGACCTAATATGCATGCAGCTGCTGCTGCAGCTGCTGCTGCAGCAGCTACTGTTAATGCTGTTGATGCTGCTGCTGCAGCTAATGCTGCTGCTGCAGCTAATGATGCTGATGATGTTGGATGCACAGACAGCAGATTCCCTCATGGTAAACCTCATGGATTATGCGGATGTAGGGGAATCCTATTCATTGTTGGAGGTACGGTACTCCTCCTGCT